GGAGAAAAGTGTCAGGTAAAACTGGAGAGCGTTAAGAGAAAATGGAAAGTCTGGATATGGCTGAGGAACATGAGTGGTTTTGGTTATAATCCAAATACAGGTGCTATCACAGCACCAAATAAGGTGTAGGAAATGGAAATACAAAGACAGCCAGGGATAAGGGAGTTTTGAGATAGGCCGATTGGTAATGTGATAGAATTGGGAGAGATTTTTGAGGGTGTCCAGACAAAAGAACGCCATGCTATCTATCCAGGCTCCAGTCAACCTACATCCAGTACAACTATCTCCTTTTCTCAGGAATGTACTTCGATCGATTCTGATGATGCCCAGTCGCCAGAAAGCTCAGTTAGCCACAAGCGAAAAAGAGCTGACAATGTACCACCATTGACTCCACTGGGTCGTGTTCGAAAGCATTAAGAGAACCCAGTATCATGTATTGTCAATGCAGTTGAGAAGATGATAGCTGCACCACTTCCAGTTCAGGTGGCATCCTCTGTTATCCAACCGGCAGTTGTCAAGCTCCGGGAAAACTATAAGGGAAAGCCTGGATGGTCAACTCAGGATATTATTGCTGGCTATAAATTGTTTGAGAATAGTGTTAAGGCCGATATATTTGTGGCATTAGATGGTGGTGAAGATAAGGAGATGTGGTTGAGAGGTGAAATAGATAACAAGATTGTCTGGAATGCTCATTGTAAGTAGTTCTATCTGTGCTTGTTCTGATAGTTTATATACTCAATCCACATTTTTGTTGCCCTTCCATTCCTCTCATTTACCATTGCTCTCGTTTCTTGTGTACTTCCATTATCTGTACTTTCCACTAGGCCATCATTTATATCATCATCCTCAGCCATGTTAGCTCTCTCCTGGCTACCTGATTCTCCATCCTTATAAAACTAATCATCCTCTCCATTTGCCCGATAATGGATAAAGTTATGCAGTGCACATATAACTAGTACCAATTTGGCTTAAGTATCAAGACAATACTCTGATCTACTGTTGAGAATTTGAAACCGACAGTATAAGACACCAAAGATCCGTTCTATTACATTATGTAATTGTGCGTGCCAGAGATTAAAGAGCTTCTCTTTTGTCTGAGGACGACGATGTGCAAGCGACTGCTCTTGGAGATGATATTCAACTAAATGATATGGGCTAAGAAATCCTTTATGACGCCCATAGCCAGTGTCAGCAAGGTAAATTGTTTTCTCCCCTATTGGGAACCCATTCAGCACTGCATTTTCTAATACACATGCATCGTTTGCTGACCCCTCCCACCCATGACATACATAAAAAACGTACATATCCAGGCTATAGCCTGCTAGTACATTTTGGATAATAGCTCCTTTGCGATTCTGATAGGCTGTCTGTTCCCCTTTTGCAATGTGTGCCAAGATATGGGTGCTATCGATAGCACCATGAACATCACTAAAGTGGGCCATTTTACCCCAGTCATTGTATACTTGAACCGGAATATTGTCAGGAGGAGGCTGGACAAATGTATTATAAAGCGAAAGTAGAGCATTTAAAACTCAATGGAAGTGACTTTACAAACAGGTTCTCTTAGTATAGAATACAAAGTAGAATTCAATCAAATCAAGGACTTACTGGGAAACTATATCTCCACCATGCCGAAACTGCTCTTGCACTTCTCTATTTGATGCTCCCTGACCCACGGCCCATAAAAACATAAATATTTACTCTTCAACTGCTACATAGCATGTTGATGCTAATAAACCATGTTCAACAACCCAATCACATAGATCTAGGAATGTGGTAATCAGCATTCATATGAGTTCCATCACTTGACATGGATGTCCTCGCAGAATCTCTTTGGTATATTGGCAACGGCTATGGCTCGAAGTATGGACTTGCTGTGGAGAAAGAAAGAACTAGACATAGATGGCTGCACTGATAGCGATTTGGATTCGTTTTTGAATAACAGGTGCATTAACGGCATCAATATTGCTATTGTTTGCCATTGGATAGATGTGGAGATAAATTGCCAGTGGCATAAGATTTAGATTCTACAAAGAATTATGTATATGATACGGGAGAAATATTCCCACTTCAATGTTTAAAAAAAAAAAAAATTTACATTAAATTTTCATGTGACAACCCTCTTGTTGCCAAGGCTGTGAAACGGAATAGTTGACACTAGTGGTGCCGAACGGCCCTTCCGTTTCCAATTTTCAGAACGGAAGGAAACGGTCGTTTGTATGGGCGAACGGAACGGTTTCCATCACATCCGAACAGGCTCTTAGTGATTTATATCCCGGGTATGACTATTTTAAACACGAAGGAATCTCGCTATCACCAGTCAGCGATCGGTGTTTACAACATTTTTTCTCTTATGGGCGTGCTTGTATCTGCTCCTCCTCTCATATTATAGTCACTGGATACCTAGATAAACCTCCGCCATTAAGTGCTATTAACCCTTAAACGAAAATCCGAATTCACGAGCTGGTAGGACAAGTGTCGATACTATTTCTTGAAATGCCCAGTTGGCGTGGTGGTTAAGAGGTCAGGAACCAATAAACCCCTGCGCAATTGCCAGGTGCTCGCTTGGGGAGTTCAGTTCCCTCCTCCCGGGGAATTATTTTGAACAACCGACGACGCGTAGTGGGGGGGATTAAGAAATCCTGCTCCATGGGAACCGGGAGACTGGAAGCCCTTAGCCTTTTCTCAATGAGGCTTCCTAGTCGAATCAGATATGCTATGACACCAGCGGTGGAATTCGAGTCTAGAGAGGACTCCTCATATCGGATGGATGAGGCGGGCGGGCGATCGGTAGGGGGTCGCAGGGGAAAAAATGGGAAATAATCATTTTTCTCTTCCTTTACTTTTAGCTAGTGGCTGCTATTTCGGGGGGCTGTACGGATATTTCTAGCGTTATACGAGGGCCACTTACCATCACCCTTCACGATTAATCTCTCCTTATAAAATCGACCGTGCTCCCCCCAAGATGTCAGGTTGTAGGAAAAAGGTACCTTCGGCAAACGGTGACAGGTTGTTAATGGATCTCTCTCACCTTATTTATTCATTCCGATAAAGGGTGTTTTGAGAGATGGCCTTTCGTCTGTTGGACGTGGTATCATAGGTTGAGTTTATAACAACATTATCGGGGGGGAGGGGGGGTTTGCGCTATGCGCTTGTCATACCTTGGAAGGGGGGAAAGTAGTGTGCGGATTCCTGGAATCTTGCATGCGAAAGTTCTACTAGAGGAGAATAAGAATATGATAGGGTGGGATGGGATGGTTTCGGCTTTTGGCTTGGCGTATGGGGGGATTAATATTGGCGGCGTGAGGGGCTGTTCGCTCAAGTTGCTGGTATCATAGCGGTCGATGGCATTTTATTTGGTGACCGTGCGGGCAGTGGTGATAGGCTTGTGGGTGGCCACTAACGAACTTGGGGTTAATAATCGTTATGGGAGAGGTTAGACAGGGGAAGGGGGAGAAGGAAGAGGAAGAGGGTGGGGGAGGAATTGGAGTCAAAGAGTGCCTCATGGTTGAACGTATTCGGAAGTGCGAGTGACTGTGTATGACGGGTGCAATCCGGGATGTGCGGTGAACGGGGGTTAACTGGGGATAGATTACTTTTATACGTCATTTGGCCTTTTTGTAGAAAAACTGCTGAAGGTACATTTAGTGCGGAGGACGAGGTCGAGGTGTCATACAAAAGATGCTATAACAAACGTTGTCCCCCCTACCGGTAGTCTGATGGGGGGTGGCTTCGCGGAGCTCGTTGGGATATCTGAATTTCACAGCGGATATCCTTAAGCATCGTAAAACATGCTGGTGTCAGACGGGATGCATCCGATAGGCAGCTTCCTGATAGTGGCCAACTTATGTGGACTGGGATTCTCTCCCTTTCTTCCGGCTTGGGCGGTAGATATTGGTACGGAACGTATGATATGATGGC